GTATATAAGTCTACTGCTAAGTCTACTGCTATCCAAGCAGGAGACCCTAAACCATTCTGGACAAATGGTTGTCCAGTCTCTTCTTGAAAGCCTCCAGTGATCAAGCACCCACACTTTTTGAAGGCAAGCCGTTCCACTGGTTAATTGTTCTCACTGTCAGGAAATTCCTCCTGCATTCTAGCTTGCTTCTCTCCTTTCCAAGTTTCCATCCGTCCCTCCTTATCCCAGTCATACACCTCATCTCCTAAAATAAGGATCTTCTGCTTAAAGGCATAGCCCTCCAAAGCCAACGCCCACCACCCTAAAATCCAGCAACCCTCCCCCAACATGTTTAACAAGTATATGAATCAAAGTTGGCTTCTGCTTGTATTATTATAGACTGTCAGGAATTAGTTGTTTTCTTCCTAGCAAATTGTAACCTTAACACCGGATGGCACTGCAAATGTTATTTCCCTGCTGTCTCTTGCTTCTATGCTTGGCTTCAAAGCTAGGCACATTCTTGAAAACATAGAAGAAATTGTAACAGGGGAATATCAGGCCCCATAGATAAAAGAACCAAACTAGGGAGTTTTCCTGGCTCAAAAATCCTTAAAGCATTCTGCCGAAAAACAATTTGGCAAAGGGGGGCCGCCACCCCCTACACAAGGCTATGAGTCTCACTCTCTTCATTTCAGTGGCTCCGGGAAACTGTGGGAACCTTATAGTGTGAGACATTTCCACTGGAAAGCAAGGATCCAGTCAGTGGTACCTATCTTATGCCCTCATAAAAGGGCAAATTCAGAGGATGTTAGAGCCCATCATCCTTGCTCATTTGCTTCTGGGGTGGCCCCAAAGGCCGGGAAACCGCCCATTCCTGTTCTTTCATTCCCCAGGTGACTTAGAGACAACTGCCACTAAAGCTGCAGGCTCCATTCAGACGCCCATCACCCTTCTCCGCCACTTCTGCAGGCAGCTTCTCTTCCATCCCACAAAAGCCCCCACCCCCGCCCCAAATGGCTTAATTTAAGAATTTGGGGAGGGGTCTTGTCTTTCATCTGAAGCCAGTCCAAGGCAAAAGGCTGGTTTGCCTTCCTTCCACGTGGCAGAGCAAAAAGTAGCTCGACCCCCACCCCACCCACCCAAACACACTACAGACCCGTGTTTCTTAACCTGGTGGGACTTTTAAAAGAGGGGCGGACTTCAACTCCCAGAATTCCCCAGCCAGCACAGCATAGTTATGCCTAGCACAGCTGGCAGGGGAACTCTGGGAGTTGAAGTCCGCCCCTCTTTAAAAGTCCACCGGGTTGAGAAACTCCCGTCCTTAAGGCAGCTCGGACTACAGCTTCTATAGGACGTGGCCTTCAGGCCGGAGCGCATGGGAGTTGTAGTCCTGGCCGTTCGGGTCCGTTTAAAACCCCTCATGCGCGTGGCAAGGGAAAACCGAGCAGCCTGACACTCCCCCTTTCGGGCTCTGCCCGTCCGCTTAGCCTCCTCCGTCCCTGGCGAAGCTCCCCGCTGCAAGGCCCTCCCTCCTCCTTTCCCAACCCCGGGCTTCGGGGCAGCCCCAGCCCTCCCGATCGCCGGATGCAGGCGGATGAACTCTAGGCCTCGACGGGAACCGCAAGCTCACCCCGGCCACCGCCATCTTAGCGAGGAGAGGAAAAGGAGGAGCGTCGCCCAAGACGGCCGTAAAGCAAGTAGGGGGAGGGAAGAGGAGGAGAAAGCCGAAGGCGACGAAGCTTCTACGTCACTGTTGAGAGGCGGAGCCCTGGAGTGACGGGAGGGCGTGTGGAGCGCGAGAGAATAGAGACTTAAAAAGGTGAGAGAGATTCTCTCTCCTAGAGAGGTCACTTTCTGCTTTCCTTGGTTTAAAGTAGGGTCTTCAAACTTGGCCACTTTAAGATTTGTGGACTCCAACTCCCAGAATTCCCCAGCTAGATCCATTGCTAGACTCAATGCAACTTTGGACCAAATAATTTATTTAATCCTCATTTTCAATGACTGAGCAATTTGCCTAATTAAAAACGAGTTAATGCAATTTCATTCAATTAAGAGCCTCTGCTCTAAACCCCTACATTTCTAAATGGCCTTCTCGGAGGAGATTTACTTCCATGCGGCTGAGGAAGCAATGAAACAAAAACAGTTGGAATTTAACTTTTCCACGATTCTGAATATTTTTTCTCTCTCTCTCTTTCTCTCATATATCTCTCCTCTCATCTCTCTCTCATCTCTCTATCCTCTCATCTCTCTCTCTCTATCCTCTCATCTCTCTCTCTCTCTCCTCTCATTCATCTATCTATCTATTTATCTATCTCTATCATCTCATCTCTCTCTATCCTCTCATCTCTCTCTCATCTCCCATTCTCTTTCCTATCTATCTATCTCTATCCTCTCATCTATCTCTCTATCCTCTTATCTATCTATCTATCTATCTATCATCTATCCTTTCATCTATCTATCCTCTCATCCATCCATCTATCTATCCTCTCATGTACCGTGTTTCCCTGAAAATAAGACATGGTCTTATTTTCTTTTGACCCCTGAAATAAGTACTTGGCTTTATTTTCGGGGAGGTCTTATTATTTTTGAGGTGCAGGAGGCGGCGAGCATAGTAACCTCATGGCTGCTGCTGTGTTGCAATATTTTCGGGGAGAACTTATTTTTGGAGGGGTTATTTTAGCGCATGTCCTCAAAAGCCTGATTGGGCTTACAATCCGGGGAGGTCTTATTTTGGGGAAAACAGGGTACCTATCTATCTATCTATCTATCTATCTATCTATCTATCTATTCTCACATCTATCTACCTATCTATCTGTCTATCTCTATCCCCTCATCTATCTATCTCTTATCTATCCTTTCATCTCTCTCTCTATCTATATCATCTATCTATCTCTATCTAAC